CTAGTACTACGACCACTACTACCACTTCCTGCCAGCCACTTGCTACCTGCTACCTGCAACTGCACCTGCTTTTTCGCACATGACAACATCGAGTATACGGCTGTGCTTCGAGAGAGAAGCTGTCCAGAAGTCATCAACATGCTTATTGTTCTTTCGACTGCATGTTAGCACCAACAACGGTATCATCATCAATCCCGTAATTGGAAAGCATATGCACATGAGAAGTTCCTCGACCTCGGACAGATGCATCCCCGGCTACATAGGCTAGGCTGCATTATTCTGAGGTTGCTGCCACGCGGCTGGCGGCAAGCACTACGCTAGTGGCTGTCCTTCGGGCTGCATTTGTGAAATTCAGGTTTTTGTCGGGGTCTAGGGACAGACTCCGGCATGAACTCAACCTACCAGCATTGGACATGGAGGACACACTACATGGAAGTTTGGGGACACAATCGCAATTGGAAATATCCAGACATGTCAATACGGTTCGCTGCCTGCGATTATGGACATCATTCCCCATTTTCCGCAAGCCTCAAGCCAACACCCATCCGAAGCCTACGCCCTGAATGCTGGAGCCCACATCCTAGCCGTAGGCACAGGGTGCCTAACTTTCTTCACCTCGCCTACGGCTGACGGACAAAAGCCTGCGTTGTCCATACCAAGGAAGAGACTAATGTAGGGGCCTAAATAATTACCTATACTATTTTGCGGGGTTCCTTATTATAACTATAGTATAATGGGCCCCAAAACCCTATTCTGGTTATTAAGGCCCCTATTGGAATTCCCGCAAGTTTAGGGGAACTGGTGCTCCAGAGTTTTGTGCGTCATACCCCCAACTCTTTGGCAGGTGTTCGGTTCGTACCTCTCCGCCCCTGTCGCCTTTTGCCTAGCAGGCACGGGCTGTTTGGGATTCGGGGTTTAAGTTTGTGAATGTTTGTGTTACTGCCGCTGCTACGGCGCCGACTTGGCCTGTACAACTGTTTTCCGTGGCTTCCATCTATTACTGCTATCACCAACACCAGCCGCAAACAGAATCGGGTACAGTATGTTGTGCGACTTGTTCTACCTGACGATAGTCGTTACTTTTTGAGGATGACGGGGGTTTTGTTGCTGCAGACACAGCAGCCTCAGCTTGAAAACCCAACGACGTGTAACCGAGACCTCGTCGAAGCTTCTTTCCGAGTTTGTGTCTACATGGATCATGGCTCTTTTGTTACTATCTTATAATGTCGAAGCCTGTGGGCTGTAGGGGCTGCAAGGAACTTGCAGACTTGGACCGTTAGCTTACGGCCTGCCTCAAAAGTATGGCAGCGGGAGGTGGGGATGACAAACAGGGTATCAAAGTTGGACGCATCTTGAAAATCGGCGGTTGAGCCGGGAACCCAGTGGGAAGTCTAAACACTCTACGTGTTAGGTGCAGGGGTTTAGGCACCCTGCCGCGAATGAATCTGCAATGCATCAACGAGCCTCTTCCACGCGAAACCTCAACATGTTGGGTATGCATCTGAGGGAATGACGGACACTTTAATTGGTGAATGAATGCCAAAATATACGTGTGTAGACATATATATATATATATGTATAAAGCCACATTACACACATAATCAATGTGTTAACTTAATGTGTGCATACCCGTATCCACATATACATATGATGTGATATATATATATATATATACACACATCTGAATATGTACATATGCACTCATGTATGTATCCATGCTTGTATGTATGTATGCATGTATGTAGGTAGGTGTGTACGTATGTATGCATGCACCCCTGCACGTAGGTATGTATGTATGCATGTATGTATGCATGTATGTATGTAAGTATGTATGCATGTATGTACGTATGTATGTATGTATGTATGTATACTGATCTATCACATACTGTTGTGCTTATATGATGATGTATACAAATATGTATCCGTGTACAGACCTATGCACATCTACAAGTGTTTAAATATATACACACATACAGAGAGAGAGAGAGAGAGAGACATTTTGTTCTACTTTGCATTCACAGGGCAATATCCTTGTCCCACGTGCGGCACACGACACAGCATCATGGTGCGGCCTCAGGGTTGCAGTGTGTTCGGACACACATCGCAACGAGTCATACTCGCGGGCATTCGGACAGAATATTGGGACCTTCATCATAGGAATAGGGTTCTTATAAGGTCTTTTACACCGTCTTCGCAGGGTGTTAATAATGATGGAATGGGGTTGCAAGTAGTGCGAAAAGTCTTCTTGATTGGTGTTTATAGGTTTTGTTGGGTCTGGTGACGCAGGGTTTTGCTGGCTCTACTGCAGCGGCCTGAATACTTGGAATGCGGACTTTTTGGGGCTTATTTCGCCATGACATTATACGGTCGGTCAGGGCATCAGACTTTCGTGCTTAGAGTTTCAGAGTATGGTTTTCATAGTTCAGACTCTACTTTTTGGGGTCTCTACATATTGGGTTCCCTTCTCATTTTCTGATGTTCCATGCAGCTGCACCACAGTTTATCGCTATATTGCATCCCATATACCCCCCC